TTGGCTCTTGTGATTGTGGAGGCTTGATGAGTCCAAAATCTACAGGGTTGGCCAGTAGGCTGGAGACTCAGGGAAGAGTTGCACTTCATGTCTACAGGCAGTCTGCTGGCAGAATTCCTTCTGGCTCGAGAGACCTCAGTGTTGTTGTTGTTGTTTTTTCTGAAGGCCTTCAGCTGATTAAGCGAGGCCCACTCACATTATGGAGGGAAATCTGCTTTACTTTTTCAAAGTCCACCAATTTAAATGTTAATCACATTCATAAAACACCTTCACAGAAACATTCGGAATGTTTGGCAAAATATCTGGGCACCATGGTTCAGCCAAGTGGACACATAATTAAAATTAACCATCACAGACATCTTTTAACCACACAGGCTCCCATTCAGGGCACAGATGTGAATCCCCGGAAAGGAAGAACATCTCTTTATCTTTTCTTCACTCCTGCCGCCAGCACCCCACTACTCTGCCAGAGAAAAGGAAACAACATAAACACACATCACCATGAGAATGAGTAATAAATTGTGGATTTAAATGCTTCAGGGCAATTCAGTAGTTTAAAGTGAATGAAATGGAATGTTATTATTCCTGTTTTAATATGGATACGTCTCAAAAATAGAATAGTGAGCCAGGGAGAGAGAGGGAGAGGAGAGAAAAAGTGAACAGCTTGTAGAAAGAGACGGAGTACAATAACATTTATGCAAAATTTTAAAACACAAAAAATTAAAGTTTGTAGATGAGAAGAAGAAAAACATGTATGTCCACGTAGGCCCCACGCTCCAGAGAGTCAGTACCTTTGGGAAAGAAGGTAGATGACTGAATGGAATAGGCGGGGTACTTGGGGCTTCAGTCACAATCTCTGATGTTTCCTTTCTTTTCCCAAGGGGTCTGCCACACGGCGAAATACTAAGTTTTGACAAATTTTGATAGTGGGTACACATTTTGGTCCTGGGTACACACTTTATTGTTTTGTATGCATTTTTATATGCTTGAAATATTCAGTAGTAAAATTGTTTAAAGAGTCTCCTTTTTCTCTCAAGAGTCCTTAGCAAAGGTGGGATAGCCAACCCTCCCTCTGTACCATTGCTTTGTTTACCGAGGCCTCAGACATACACAGGAGTTACGGTGTCTGTTCAGAGTGGGCTGAGAAGGAGAGTTGGAGGCCTGCCTCAAAGGAAAATTCCATCAGGCCTCTGTATACTCACCTATTCCTGTGGCTGGGCCCAGTCTATATAGTGTTCAGCAGTCAACCTTGAACATCCCAACAGGGATACAGTGCATAAATATTCTAAGGAGAAAGCTAGGAATACATAAGTAGTTGACCCACGTCTCTTCATTCTGAACCTTCTGAAGGCCCAGACAAAAATGGCTGCCACGTACCAAGAAGGAAACCTTATTTAAATTTAGTAAGCAGAGTATTGTATAAATTACTGACACAACCTACTAAGCCAGGGTATATGGTGTTAGCCCTAATTCTACTACTCATAATTCCATGCATGTGGAATTATGGGAGGTATATAGTTATCAGAAGATCAGAAATATCTTTGTAATGGACTGTTTTGTTCATCTTTGTTACAATGCTGAATCTTGAATTAATCTCTCATGAAGCAGATTTAGAAAGAAAACGCTTTAAATTGGAAAGGTTAAAAATGGATTTTTTGTTTTCGTGTAGTCTTCAAATTTCAATTTGTCACTCACAGAACCCAAAAATGTTTACGTGCTTTTAAGATGGAAACAAAAGGACCTCCTTCAGATGAAAACAAATACTACTTGAATGCTTGAGATATTTCTAACAAAAGTCAGGCAAGTCACTTGGTACACATCTTTTGCCACATAGTGTAGAAAGCAGAGCATCTATAAAAGCCCTGCAGATGACCACTTGTCTATTTGGGGGCAAGTAGCAGTTTCCAAGTAGCAAATAAAGGAGGTTGATTTTAATCATGCTAGCTGTGTACACTTGGGCCATTGATGAGTGAAAGAATATTAACTCCTTACAGTAATATGT